AGGCGCCATGAGTAGCTTGTTAAATCATTCATTATAAATTAGGAACACAATCGCACAAAATCACTTTTCTGCAAGAATAAATGCTTTCAGCCAGCTGGTCTTCATCAGTGTCACACCTATGGTCAAAAAAGACTAACTGAACATTGCAGTCGTAGTAGAAGTAAAGACATTACTTCACCAGAAGCAAGAGACGTTTTGGAATTTGGGCACAAAATAGAAGATCTCAAATGTATTGGCAGTGAAAATGTTCAAAGGAATCGTAGAGGTGGAGATGGTGAGAAACCTTTTAAAAAGGGGAATATTTCTGGCTATATACCCTCAAAAGTCTGTTACTTAATGGTATAAATGAAGAATATAGTGCAACCATTTTTCCATAAACATAGTATTGGTATTGCTGAGCTCAGATATCCACTGCTTCATGAACAGCTACACGCTGGATGTTGCAGTGCATGCCTGAACTCGCATATATGCTGTTTTGATGCATTTGAATTGGAAAGCCTGCTGGTTGGCTTTATATGGATTTTAATATGTTGTCATTTTACCTGTGCTCTAAGAACTGAGCTTATTTCATCTATGATTACTGAACCAGGTGCAGGCTAAGTAACTCCAGAGGTATCACCTGGGTGTAAGCAGTTGAGGCTGTGACACTGATGAAGGCTGGATGGCCAAAAACATTGTCTTCTTGCAGAATAAAGTGATTTCTTGCCACTGAGTGTGATTCTAATTTACGATTATTGGATGCCACTACTGGGATAATGTACCAATTTTTCCTGAGCGCAGCGAAATCCATATGTAAGTCTCTTATTAAACCAATGTCCATCGATGTGAGTTTATACATTACTGTATCCTGTTTATATTTACTGCTCACATAAACAATATGATTAATATTTAATGATTTAGTTTTCTAATAAGGCTACCATAGTAAAATGCCCTGCATCATTTTAGTACAGGGAGAAAAGTACTGTACATTGTATTGTAAAAGCTGGCTGTGTTTAAATTGAAAGTAGATAGTAGGCAATAGTTTTGATTAATCATCTAATACCACAATCACTGATGGATTTTCTTGCTGCTCCTGGGCTCTATTAACACCACGAACCTTTTAACAGAATAATGTTATGCCTTTCTCACAACAGCGGGAGCTCTCCTCCTCTGAACACACTGAGTGATACATTTTCTCTGTTGTGAAGTCAAGTTTAAAATGTATTTCTGACTCAGAATTTAATTAGAATAATGAACCCTTAGGTGCAGAGTTACTGTTGTGATGTGCTAATGAAACCAACTTTGATCTAAAATAACTGAGGCGCATCCTGGACCCATGCATGGAATTCAAACAGTCCTCATCTGCACAGTTTCCTGTTAGGGAGCTCAGAGCAGAAGGTGTGCACAGAGAGAGGAAATATGAACAAATGTTAAGAATATGAGAGCGGGGAAAAGTGTTAATGGTGACTGACAATAAAAGGCATTTTCTGTCTCCCAACTTTCCTCCAGTCTTTGACTCACAGCTTCTTTCTTTTGTTCCCTGTTATTTCATCATCACTTAAACTAAAAAAAAACTGACAACCCATTTATTGAATTTCTTTTTTACCTAAAGGTAACGCAGACATGGGACTGTTTGGTAATTGTCAGTAGCCGTCAATTATTTTGTTATATCATGCACTGCATATCATTACCTCAGTTCTTGCTACCATGAGCAGGTTCAGGGGGTGGCAGAGTCAAAATGTCAATATTAATGAGTGAAAAACTGAAAAACAATGACAAATTGTCTTAAATATAACTAACATTTTCTGGTGCTTTAAAACTGGTTTTGATCAAATTAGATTTACATCATGTATATGCGGCATGATATTTGCATTCATTTCTCCAATTTTGTTGTTGTGGGGGGGACTACTGTGCAGCAGCAATGTCCTTGGCCAGGAGTAATTAAGCCAAAGTTAGCTAAAGAAAGCACTGTGTGTCTCATTTTCACACAAAACAAATTCTTAATAACTTACAGTGTGTTTCATAGAACTAGGGGTTTAACTTACCTTTTTACATGTATTTCAAATGTGCCACCCCCCTCTGAATCTGTTCCCCAGCTTGCCCACCCCATCCAATATTTTCTGGAGCCACCCCTGTCCGCAAGACATGTTGGGATTGGAAGCACTGATGTTTCAGGATTGATCCGCACATCACTACTCTGAGGGAATTTTACAAGAAAACAGAGGCCAGTAATTAGATCTGTGTAAAATGCAGCTGACTTCTGCACCAGTTCAAGAATGCATTCCCAGTTTTCTAGCCCCTGCTTACTGCTCCATTATTTACAATTCTGAAACAACTAGAATCACTGTTGTTCTTTTCTGTTGTTTTGTAACAGGACTTCTGAAAACTTCCTTCTGGCTGAAAAACTAATTTATTCCATCTACCATTAAGATTTTATATAGCAACGGCAAAGTGTTGTGTTGGTGCAACGTTCGAGCACATTATGGTAGGATTTACAAATGCAGAACCATAATTGTCAGTTTTACTGTGGAATGTGTAATATTCTGCTCCAGTGTACCACGTTGGTGCAATGTTAGCTTAGCAGGTTTGATCACTTTTACTGGTGTTTGTTTTGATGAATGGGTTATTGAAGAAGAATGCTCATCAATAAGGGATATCTTACATTATCTAAAAAAACAAACCCTGCCAAGTCAGTAAGACGTACATCTAAGACAATATGTTCAGTCATATACTGTCACTAATAGATATCCACATACTGCTAGCTACCGATTAACTTGTAACAAAACACTAAAAAGGTAACTGAAGTCTACCATAAATGAAGCATTACCTTTTACAGTGTAAAAAAAAAAATCAAATGACAATGGAGACTAGTAAAACTGAAATGCCTGACTGGATTCTAATTGCGATTCCTTATCATTTAATTAAAATTACAGATAATAAGCATCCCTAGAGGCGTATAAAGTCCTGCTTTCTATTAACTGGCAGAACTGTAAGCATTTGCGCACAATGGGATTTCATGAGCATGTGTTCCGCAGCTTGAATGATCTGCTCGGCAGTGAATGAGTCTTCACTGCACATGTTCAAGTGGGATTCCTCCCACGGTCCACAGACATGTAAGTGTTGTAGAGACTAAAAGGCTCATACTGTTCTGTGTGTGAATGTGGGTGTGAGTCAGTGGTTGTCTGTAGGCTGATACTGTGACGGGCTGCTGTCTGATCCACGGTATTCCCCTTCTTCCAACAATATCTGGTACATTCCCCAGCAGGGTAATTGTTACTGTCTTGTGTTTCTACATCTGCAAAAAGTAAAATAAAAAAATAGCAACATAAGTTCTTAAGCCTATATTTTCAACTATTAGGGAAAACGTCTGTAGCTGCTTCTTCCGTGGTGTCACCCAGCTGGATAATATAAAATAAACCGGTATAGTCATGTGGGTGTCATCTCTCTTTTCTTGTATGACCAGCTCAAAGAAGCCAACGGGAAATTTTAACCTTCCTGGAAATACTGAAACAAACAATAAGACCAATTTTAGTTTCCAAGTTTAAGTATACTTACCCATACTCATGCTCGACCGAGGTTCCAGCCAAGTAATTTATTAGGCAAACAAATATCAGTACAAAGTTGTGCAAAACATTTAAAGCTGGAATTATCTGGACCTTTATCTTCACCATCCTATTTACTGTAAATTGGATTTACAATAAGTAAACTTGATAGAGATGCTTGCTCAAGTCTAAATTTACAGTTGCTTGGCCATAATGGGGCTATCGTAGAATCCATCAAAGTACTTCCATGTCAATCTTTAATTTACTTGTTGACCTGCTATTAATGAGCATTTAAAGGAAGTCAAACTGCTCTTCACACATTTTGAATTCATATTTTAGGAGTAGAAGCTAACAGGTAAGCCTTGACAGTGAGCTAGCATGCAGGACCCTTGAGCTGGGGTGGCTAAATTGAATTAATCATAAATGTTTTGTGTTTTTCTTACAGTGATATGTCAAATGTCTTCATTAAAAATCTAGATTATCACTAGTTACAGCAAAGTTAATGTCGGTCATTTATGTATCCACAGTGAATCCCAAAGGAGCCCACTACCCAAACGGTAACTTTGGTTTCAGTCAAATAGTACCGGGATGTGTATCTCTCAGTTCAAACAACACATTTCCCCAATGTTTTGAAGCCAAATTGAACCCGACTGATGTATTTACCACATGAAACACAACGCCATTCCCTCTGGGAGGATGTCCCCGGACCCCTACAGAGGTTACGTCAATGTCTCTGCTTGATGTTCCATAATCCCAGCTATGACTCTGTATGTACAGTAAGGCCATATTTTCATGTCTGCTTTTAATAAAACACATAATCCACAGTTGGCTGTAGGCTAGGCACTCAATTCTGGGAACAGAGGTGAATCAATCGACACTCCATTTATTCAGAGTCCCTGGCAGACTGAACCCTCCTATTTGTGTGCAGCTGCACCCTTTCATTAGTTACACTTGAAATGATAATAACATCATGTGCACAGCTGCACTATTTGCATCCACATGGCATGCAGCTGAATTTGTGTGACAAAATGGATAGGCGGAACAGATCCTTCTGCAATATTTACATGCTAACTATATTCAGGGGTGCAGGTTTTCTACCAGTGTGATTTCATAACAGGGTAACGTTGACTAAAAATAAGAAGCTACAGTGCCTTGAAAAAGGTAGTTTTAAGAATGATGCATTAAGTCAGAGCCCAGAAAAGTTCGTGGTCAGGGTTCTGTAAGTCAGTCATTAAGGCGGTGAGAAGCATAAACACATTCCTAAATCAGTTTTGCATGTGTAACTTCAGAGATAAAACTGTGGCAGGTTTTGTTAAGCTTGCAGCCTCCGTGCTGCGATAGCCTCTTGATTAGGGCATCTCTATTTGAGGCTGACTTTTTGATTTCCCACTAGGTAAAATTTAAAAAGTTGTACACTTTGTGCAGATGTTTTGAGAAAAAAAATAGGATGATTGGCAAAGGGCTGAGAATAACACAATAGAAGATTTTTATTTCATCTGAACAGGTTTATCAAATACAACTCTACCAGGAAAGCACATACACTAACAGTCATGTCAGTGTTAAACCTGCTAAAAGAGCCTAATAGATAATACAACCTTGGCCAAACGTGATCAAGCCAGCCTAGAAGTTACAATGACACTGAATACTAATCTTTGCTTGTCTGTTCTTGGATGCCTCCCAGTTCAGACAGCACTGAGTCAGATATGACTGAAACACTGACATGCAGTTCTTTGAAATGGAGATGATGGCATTTTGTTGGCGTTTTCCACGCAACAGGGCTTAGGATGCGTGTGTCATCTCTGCTCACTTTGAACATCCAAACTGCGTCTTCTCTTGACATACAGTCAAAATTGTTTGTGCAGAATCTATGCTGGGGCCATCTGCGTCTGCGATTCACCTCGGAGGTGGTACTACTGTTGTTTGGCTTGTTTTTAAATGATGGAGTAATGTTTTGCAGTCACTCTCCCTTGACAAACGTTCAGGACAGTTAAACAACATTTTTCAAGACACCCCCCACCCCCGTTAAATTATGAAAATATTTACATCAGCATGACCTAAATACTGTTATTCCCGACAGAAGACATATTCAGTGTAGCTTGTCCAAATTTTGTCTTCGTTTGGATCACTGCTGGTGTAGGCGCAGGTGCCCGTGGAGCTGCAGGCCACCATGTGGAAGCCCACCTCTGTCAGCTTGTCAAATGCCAGCTCTAGAAAATTATATTTCAAATAGTACCGGGATGTGTATCTCTCTGGGGGCCTGTCTGGGTCTCTGCTCTCATTCAGCGTGTCCCCAAACACTTCTTTGGCCAGTGAGGTCTTCCCGCAAACCGTGATGCGCGCCACTCTCCTGAATTTGGGATCGGTTTGGATGTCTCTGCCAATGGTGTAGGAGCCGCGGTATCCTATCGTGATATAGCCCGACTTTCTGGAGTCCAGAGAGGGGGAGCGCATTGCACCGCTGACAGACACTACGCGTAAAGTCTCCGTTCCGCCAGAGGAGCCGCTCTGCTGCGCGCCTTCCTCCGTGTCACTGTGGCTGATCTCCTCGCTGATCGAGTTGTCCTTACTCACCCGGGGGCTGAGGCGTTTGGCAAGATCCCGCAGCTGGAAAAAGTCAGCTTCCCTCTGCAGTCGACTTTTCTCAGGGAAGTAGTCCGGAAGGACCAAGTTCAGGTCTCTGAGGTAATCTAGGATGTATCGGAACAAGAACCCGTCCCTGTCCAAGAAGAAGCGCCCCTTGCTGTCTCTCGCCAATTCCTTGGGTGACTTCTTGCTGAACATGTCCCACAGGAGCGAGTCTGGGACAGCGATTAGGGTTTTGTGCCTGGTAACGTAAACCTGTCCGCCGACATTCAGCTCAATAATATCTGAAAACGGGGAGCCCGAGTCACCGCAGCTGGGAACTCCACTTGCAGAGTCGGCCAGTGCCATCTTCTCTGAGCCGCTGGACGGATGCGAGATCTGTGGAAACTGAGCACCAAAGTGGCAGCGGCTTGTTTATGAATCCTGGGCTTACAACGTGTGTGAGTGCGCGTGCGTGATCTGTGTGGGGGGGTTGACTGTTAAAATAATATTTAACTATTAAATGACTGACTTATCAAAAACGGAGTGGTGTAGTGGTCCCTTTTGTGTGCCTCTCTCTTTCTCTCCTGAATGCGCACGTACACACACACACACACACACACACACACACACACACGGGTGTGGTG